GCCTGGAAGCTGTACCATTTTAAAATAAGCTGGTCGCTTAGATTGTTCTCCAAAAAATGGTAGCGTATAAACATGCTCGTAATTCTTGACCATTGTAGATGAAAATTGTCTCAAGTTGGTTTTGAATAACAGTCAGGAAAACGATACTTTGATTACGTCTGATGAACCACAGGAGAAAAGAAAGGGTTTTGGGATGGGTTTGCGTTGGGGTTTTTTGCTATCGTTACAATTCTGGCTATGATTATTTCGTCTCTTATTAAAATTTGTCCCGGTAAGGGGCAAATCACCAAACTTGACACTGCAGCCTCGACTGAATCCTGCACGGGAGCTATTACAGCACAGAATCACAACTCAGAAGTCAGTAGGAGTTTCTCGTATCGGAGGGCAGAATTAGTGTCTTGTGCTATTCCAGGCTCGGTGTTGGGCTCGTTCCTAATCATTGAGGAGGGTTCTGGTAGATGTCAAGTGAAGAGAAGAATAGAGCACGCATCCTTTACCACTCAAGCCGGACAATGAAATTAGAAAATGGCACTGAGAGTTGATGCGAGAGAATTCCCCTGGATTCCTAGAGGAAGAATAAAATAACAGTGTATCGATTAAAAAAAGAAGAGCGAGGAGGAAAAAACGGGGGAAAAAAGGCAGAAAGGAAGAGGGGAAAAAGAAAATAAATTAGAGAAACCCTGCCAGAATCCTCCTGAGACCCTATCTAATAATAAGGTCCGGCATTAAAAGCTGTGTTGTCTTTTTGCGTTAAGGCGCGTGTACTTACTGCTTCATCTTAGCTTCTGGTTCTGCCTTGTTCAAATCACTTCCCGAGCATTTTGCGTGCCTGTGTTTGCAGCGCTACTCGCTCTTATTTGAAGACTGTTTTCAGAAGTCATTATTGAACTATAGGATAAAAAGGTATGGGCATAATTACATGTTAAAGAGAATAAATATGCTCTGCTAGATAGTTAACAAGGTGAGGTTAAACAAGATAAGATGAATTCTGGGTTTTTTCGAAAACTGACAGTCTTCATTTTAAGCTACAATGTAAAGTGCTTTATCCTGAGATTAGGTATTGTGGCAGAAGCTAAAACTGCCTTTTTCCCCTAACCGTGCCAGGATACAACCTCCTTTTCTTTTTGCGCTAACAAGACTGCTTTACCACCACAGCCCACTCTAAGTAATTAAATCAATCCTTTGTACTTACCGTATTCTCCTCTAGTGACGGTACTAGATCTGATTATATGCTTCATGCATATTCAAAGTACGGCACTGACAGCTCTTTAATGAGCTCTTACTTAATCAGTACGAACAATGTTCATCTTGTTCTTTTTTTCCTCATACATTAGAGCTAGGAACAGTTGGGGAAAAAATGAAACATCCAGCATTCATTTGAAAAATATATTGTACTTTGAAAAGTGTCTAAGCTGGGGAAGTTGCATTCTGCCCTTTAAAAGTCTGATGGACAAATTGGATTACTAGTATTGGATTAAATAACAAATGGTTAGAGGAGAAATGAGAAAAGCTCGCTGTGATCACAGGCTTTAATATTTTTTGTTACTTATAAAGCTGAAGGGGTCTTTAACCAGTTATTAAAGTCAGGATTAATTTGTAATGGTCCAACTTACTAGCTTTAAAAGGGTTTTGTTGTTGTTGTTGTTGTTTTTTATCAAAAACAATAGTGTAATGCATGTATTATGGAAAAAAAAATTAAGTTTCAGATCTGTGGGCTATTTATAGATTTTCGTCATCTTGTAGTGGCTCTGATAAGGCGTTTGCATGTGTGGGATCGATTTGTTCTCAAACATGTTTTTCACTTCATTTAAATAATCTGTACAGTATTTTTTCTTCTGGAGGACAACACAGAGATTTTCCCCATTTTAATTTTCAAGCGTTTGTAGCAAGTCAGTTAAATACTCGTTTTACACTCGGAAAATGGAAACAAAAGCAACCTCAGCAGCAGGGTTTTACAGAGTGAAACTGAAACTGTGCCGAAGAAAGGCTTTTTTTGAATTTTTTATTAAGAAACCGTACATGTGAATTTAGCTTGCGATACTGCTGCAGTAAAACCACCCGGTTCTTCTTTGCTGAAAGTGTTTCGCCTGCATCCTTCCACCGAGGGGGGGAAGTAGGGGTGCTCTAATGGTCGTGTATTCGCCAAAAAGAGTTATTTAAATTTCTTATATGTGGCAGATTATCTTTATTTTGCTTGCCCGGGGAAAATCTGTTTCAGCTCCATGCACAAGAATTTTAAAGCTGATGGTCAACAAATAAAACATCAGCATTGACTGCTATTAATATTGCACACATGTGTCATTTCACTGATCAAAAAGGCCTTTGCTGGGGTACGATTGGCCTTTTTCCAAATTGCAAGCTTTTTCTCAGCTTTTTCTTTTTCGCTCTTTCTTCTTTTGTTGCTGCCGGGGGATTTGTGCCTATCGCAGCCGCTATCACATGACCGGTGTCAGGGTATCACATGGGTCCAAAGCGAGTAAAAAAACAGATTAAAAATTCTGTAAAAACAATCAAGACTTTGTTAACTCACTTTAAAACCAGCCTGTTTTATGGATATTGTGTGTGTGCTGTAGCGTCAGCGTGGAAACAGCGAAACGGGCACCTGCTGGGGTCTGACTCCACAGCTCCAAGCTTTACCTAGATCTTTCCTCGTTCTGTGTTGCAACTAACTTTATTTAGTAGGAATGCATTAACAGAAAGAGGTTTATATCTTAGGTTTACATTCTGACCCTGAGACTGCATGGCACGAAACTCAAGTTCAGATCTGCCATTGGGTCAAACTCCTTTGAAACATTTGTCTCCCCCCTTTTTCTTTTTCCCCCCCCCAAAGCTTGCAAAATGAAATGCAACAAGAGCTTGCATCGATAATGGCATCTTTTAGCCAGAGGTGCCAGACCACCCCAAAACCAACAAATTTAGTGTCATAAATTGATTAAAATGTTACTATAACCGTGTATGTCTGGTTGTGAGAGCTTTTTTTTTTTTTCACCAGCAGCGTGGCCATCTCCTGCATCACAGCATAGACTGGTGATTTTGCAAGGATAAAACTGTCTATCCCCTGTTTCTTGCCCTGTCTCCTAAATAAATTTCAGCTACTCGATGCATTTCAATGACAGATTGCTAATACTGATTATCATCTGCTTCTAAAAGCAGACCCTGTTAGGTGGACCGATGCAGCAACGCCTTTGATACGTAACTTAACAGCAAAGTAAACCTCTAAGTTTTAATCCTCTTCAGGGGAGTGCAGAACTGCTCGATATTGTTGTAAAGGCTGTTGTGTGATATTTTTCTACGCAAACCAGAAGTGGAAGTGTTGAGGGAGAGCATTTCTACGTGACAAATTTCTTCCTTCATCATTCCATCATCCGGGAGCTGGACCCTGCTGCTTCTGCTTGGAAAAGGCTTCAGGGTCATCCCCACTTTAGGGTGCTCCGTGCTTCACATCTTGCTGCTCACAAATCCTTTACCCTAAAAACACCCTTCCAAGGAACCCAAGCCAACCCACTCCCCCGTTCATCTTCTTTTCCTTCCCTTGTATGGAGGCACCCAGCCCACAGCCCAGGCAGGAGGAATCAGAGGGTTTGGAGAAGGCTGGCGACATTCCCTTGCATGCAGCAGGATCAGAGCTGGGGTGAGGAGGTGGCTCTCCATGCAGATCTGGGCTTGCAACACTACGGTGGTGTTGGGGTGTGAACATGCACGTGGCAGGCGCATACGTGCAAGCATTTCAAGTGCTCCCATCCAGAAATTGAAAGCTTCCTTTTAGAGCAAAACAGTATTTTTTTTTTTCTGGTGTCTTTTCAGCTTCTGGTATAGGTTAGTAAAGACAGCTTCCCTCAGCGTACAGCATCTTGCATCAGAGATCTCAAAACCCTTTACAAACATCAAAATGAACTTTTAGCACCCTTGCTAAAGGATCAGGACAGGTGATTATCCCCATATTACACACAAGGTGCTTAAATGCAGAGATCTGCCCACGGTCTCCTTGTGAAGCGGTGTCAGAACCTGGGAGAAGTAGTCAGAAGTTCCAGCTCATGCTTCTTTGATACTATTCCAGGTTTCTTCCCAGATTAATTTTAACCGTAAGAAATGCGTGAGTTTCATAATTCTATGAGGACCATATAGTCTTTGCTCCTCAGCTCAACTTGAGAGATTAGGAGGCCGGGTCACTACAGAGGTGCAGTCTCTACAGAGGACTTTGATGAGGTTCCTCCTAGTCCCTCAGCTCAGAGACAGTGAAATTTGGCGAAGTGACCCTGCTACGTGGAAAGGACAGTCAGGAGCCCTCTGGGTGCTCATCTCCCTTTCCGACGACGCAGAGGTGGTAGTGTAGAGTCTCACAGAGTCCCCTAGAGTGTCGCACTGCCTAAAGGTAGGCTATGGAGGTTCCTGATCCTGCCTGGAAGGCAGTGATGAGCACGGGCTGGGGAAAGGGATGCTAGTCCATGCATGCACACGTGGGGACCCTTAGGCACCTGGACCCCAAAATGATTCCTGTTTGCGCAGGTGCTCCCTTTGACGGCGGGTGAGGAGAGGAGCAGCTCTTTCTAACTCTTGTTAGAAGAGTTAGAAACATCATCCTGACTGCGCTGGGTTTGCGTGGGTGGAGTGGATCCTGCCCACAAGGACTGGGGGTTTTTTGTTTGCAATCCTGGGATGATCACTTTTAGCAACAAGTGTTTTTCTCATTGGGAACATAGCAACAATGTAGTTCTCTCAGAATAATTTCAAAGATACTGTACTTTTAAAAAGGTGTTTATTTAGGTCAGGGTATCAGCGTGGCAAAGAATACTAAAATGTTTGCCGAGTAACGTCTGCTTTCTGAGATTTATTTATGGATCAAGCAGCATTGGGAAGCAGGACTTGTAGTCATATATTTTTACCATTTGAGAGTACGCCCTGTAATGCTCAGCGATACTGGAGACCAGTAGCCCAAAACATGAATTACGTAGCTTAATTTGTGAAATGCTACATAAGTAACGAAATTCTTTTGATTGCAGGAAGAAACACAGAAGAAGAAGAAGCTATGATGCAGGAATGGTTCATGCTGGTTAATAAGAAGAACGCATTAATAAGACGAATGAACCAGCTTTCTCTTCTGTAAGTACGGTTGGATACATGCGTTTACAAAAGGGTGATTGACTGGAATGTTTACCCAGCAGATAGATGCAAAACTTTATTGTTTTATTCCCATTAGGCTCCAAAAATGTTCCCGCCAAAGTGAGTAGCATGGATGGTTTGCGGAACACATTGAGTAACTTGTTTTTCTCATATTTCAGACTTGGAAACGAGAAGTGTGCATTGATACAAGATTAGCCAGAGACCTGGGGGCTGGGGGGAAAGAAAGAAATATTAAGCAGAGTTACATTTTCAAACGCCCAAAAGAACAAAAGTACGTTTTAGAAACGCGCGGGTAGATTTGGATTGTGCCTCGGATGTGACGGGTGAAGACTCTGGAGCGAGTGCACTGTTGGAGTCACTACCTGCTTCACAGGAATCCTCAATCCCATTGCTAGTTGCTGAACGGGGATTAGTGGATCGGTCATGGTGCGGTGATACTACCGATACTGCAGAGGAAGGACAAATAAAGTTTTTTCGCTAGCACCAGCAAGGAAGGGAGAAGGCGCTGCTCGTTTTCAGAGGCAGCCTGCCCACAGTGCTTCATTTCCAGCTTCTTTTGGTGTGATCATATGTCTTTCAGTAATGCCACCTAGTGTAGATGCCTGCATACTTCCCTGGGAAGAGCCCGTGCTCGTGAATTTCCTACCGTGTCTGAACTTGACGGAAGATTCTACCTTCAAAATATTAAGCTTTCTAATCCCATGTCTAATTTTCATTATTCATTAGGGCAGAATGTATATAGGATAATACTTCCAGTGTCATATTATCTTGGTGAATAGGCTGATGCTGGAATTTGTTCATTAGATCTGGGGGAATGTTTTATACTTAGGACATTCCACAACAGCTGCTCCAAGGATGAATATGAAATAATTACATCCTCTAGCACAATAGAGTTAAACTGACGGAATTAAAGCCAACATTATAGAAAATGAAAAGGCCCTGCTACTGAATATGCCACCTGAGCAAGGTTTTAAGTTTGTGTATCATTTGTTCGGAGTAGCTTAAAGTTAAAGAGAAAAGTCGCTTACGAGTCCTAAAATCAATGTAAGTTAAAGGTTCTTTTAAGCGTTTAATGATTTAGTAATTAACGTATTGATGAACTTTTGCAACTTGCCTAGGGAAAAAGAACATGACCTAGAAAGGCTGGAGCTAAGAGCCATGCTGGCTATTGAAGGTAAGAGCAGTGCTGGGCAGCGAGGGAAGGAACGCGCGTGCTGCCGAAGGCGGCTGCCTGAAAGCACCAGCCGTGGAGGCTTTTCTGAAGCCCGGTTAGGAAATAACGCTGATGTTCACATCATTTCAGGTGCTAGCACGCAGCAAATAACACTCGCTCTGCAATCCCGTTCTTAAGTTTTATCTGGGAGGGAGGGGGGAAGTCCAAGGCGGGTGACAAACGAATGGTCACCTCGGAATAAACTTTGAAAACAGAGTGATGAGGAAGTAAGGACTATTTGTCCAGGGTTTATTATTTTTTGTGGCAGTAACGTTCTCCTGGCTTTCCTGTAGCATCGCGCCGCTTTTGGCACCGCAGAAAATGGTAGGGGTGACCCACAGAAGGCAGCCTCGTTCCTTTTAATGTTTCAGATCTGTTTTACACCAGTATCTCACTGGGGGGAGAAAAAGTCTCATCAGTTTCGGTGGTAAAACACTACGTTTGCCAAGTAAATATTTCACCGCAAGCAACGCCAGGATTAGTGCGATCCTTTGCACAGATTTTCTCCCTTCCCTGCAACTCTCCCGAGTTTTAGTCACCTTACCTGAATGAAAACTCATGGGAAGATTGACACGTGGGATAAATGAAACAATCGCATCCTTTCCATAGGGCTTTCAAGTGAATTGTACAATAATCCTGGGGATGATTCATAATAAAAAATAAACATCCAGATAGCTTAAACCATTGCTCGCATCATTTTCTTATTTAAATATCTGAAGTGTTTTCTAATGCTGCACCGCTTCTAACTCTCAGTCACAAATGCTGTCTTACAGTTCAAAGATGTTTGCTTAAAAGTTAATCCTTTGGGCTCTGTAAAATGGACCTTTTGTCTAATCAATGCAAATTGATTTTGCTATTCTGTATTGACCTCTCAACCCTTCGACTGTCCATGGTAATTTCTTTCTTCACCTGATAAGGTACCTGATCCATAATAAATCAATTCTAATTAGTTTGGAGACTTCACAGGGAGCATAAGTTTGTAGGCAAAGAGCAGCAGGTTTCAGGTAGCTTTTTCGTATCGCTCCATCTGTGGTTAGACTTTTTGCATAAGACTACGTTGGCTATCATCTCGGGTAAACTTGAGCGGTAAATATATACATGCTCTCTCCAGACACAGGCCAGATTAATTGGGACTCAGGCTGATGAAATATTTAAAACATAAAATACTCTAAAGCCAGGGAAGAGCTAAGAGCTACTGGACTTCAATGGGAAATTTTAATGTTTGATCGCCTCTTTATGTTTTACTGCCTTGTAACGTCCCAGCAGCAGCCGCTGAATGTCTGTCGGTCTGTGCCGTTCACACACTGTCTTGAGCAAAAAAATCTGTCCTTTTTAAATTTCTTTTTGTGAGTTCAGAGAAGGATGCCAAAACCCAGGGATGCACTTATTTTTTCTTTGCTGCCGGTGATACGATGAGCAGGGGTTTAGGGAGAAAACGTAAGCGCTGGAGAATTTTGGTTATTGGGGGTGGTTATTTACACAACAAAGTCCTCGTGTAGCATTTTAACCCTCAGCAAGATTATTGGTCTGCTGGAACTTTTAGCAGCTGTCCGCTTTTACTTAAAAAAGCCATCCTAAAGGATAAACTCCCAAGGAAATGCCTGTGAAAACTCAAAATACACTTTTGTGACCCCGCGCCTCTCGACATGCGTGTCGGTGCCGTATTGCTTCCTGTGTCCGACGTATGCTGGGGTGCAAAGGTGCGCTTTTTGGCAAAACCCCGCACCGTTTGATTTGCCGAAGGAAGCACGGGCTGCCTGAACAGCTCGGCACTGTCTGCTCCCAGGCCGTTTAGCTGATTGCTAATGAGTCGGAAAGACAGATCTCACTTTTACCACCACAACTGCCAAACCTGAAACGTATCAGCAGGGAAGATAACGAGATATATATATATATATATATATAACCGAAAGGGACCAGTTTGTCTAAAAGAAGGGCAGAACG